GAGGGGAACCCTGCATATACCACTCTGTATTTTCTAGGTTTGGTGAGGTACAAAGAGGAGAATGGAGAGGGGAACCCTGCATATACCACTCTGTATTTTCTAGGTTTGGTGAGGTACAAAGAGGAGAATGGAGAGGGGAACCCTGCATATACCACTCTGTATTTTCTAGGTTTGGTGAGGTACAAAGAGGAGAATGGAGAGGGGAACCCTGCATATACCACTCTGTATTTTCTAGGTTTGGTGAGGTACAAAGAGGAGAATGGAGAGGGGAAAATGTTGCTGTAAAAATATTCTCCAGTGTAGAAGAACTCAGCTGGTTTAGAGAGGTAATCCTCATTCAGTGAAAACCAGAAAAATGAATAAATGATTTAATAAGTCACAAGTAAAATTATTTGTGTTGTAACACCATCAAATATACTTAATCAATGCTAAAATGTCGTCTTCCTATTCCACAGTTTTCTGGTTCTCACTATGAATAGTAAGACTAGTGTTAAAGGGTGTGTTCGAGAAAAATGAAAGGGGTAAAGGCTGATATCGAAATGAATTCAGTATTTTAAATTCATTTGAAATTATCTCGATCTGAGTGAATTAATGCAATTCTGTGAATTGTTTAAGGGCCCTTCGGTATGAGACGTTTTTAACCCTTTTCTCCTTATATGCGCATCGGATTAAAATAAAATTTCTATTGATCATTAAATTTAATCCGATATCATTTTTCGCAAACACTCCCTTTAAGGATCCGCATCTGGAACGCAACACTTTGATCCACATTCAATATATTAACCAAAATACGCTAATATCAAACACATTACTAAAATCAAGTGTGGACTATCAAGATATTGATATAACTCCTCTGATCCTTCAGAGGTTAATGTTCAATCAAGTTATCTAAATATAACTCCTCTGATCCCCCCAGAGGTTATTGTTTAATCAAGTTATCTAAATATAACCCCTCTAATCCCTCCAGAGGTTATTGTTTAATCAAGTTATCTAAATATAACTCCTCTGATCCCCCCAGAGGTTATTGTTCAATCAGGTTATCTAAATAGCGAGAGAAAATAAATGGGAATTTTCTAATTAAAAAAATTCTCTAATTACTTAAACTTGTAGAAACACATAAAATCTAACATAACAGTAGAAAGATATAAAAATGAAGATTAGTTTTCTTGAGTCAATGAGTGTTTCAATCCACTGAATATTCCAAGGACATGGTGTCAATGATTAGAATATTTCAGCTGCAAATACATTCCAGAAGATATTCTTCGCCAATACAATTTTCAAAATCCATACGACAGACTATTGATGTCTAATTTCACATGATTTAATAATTATGTAAACAATATACATAAATGAATTTTAGGTTGAGATCTATCAGACGAGTATGTTACGTCATGATAATATACTAGGATTCATTGCAGCTGATAATAAGGTAGATTTACACAGATATATACTTGAAAGAAAAATCGGGGGAGGAGGATGATAAAGAACATTAATTGTAAAGTAGTTCTACTCTGTTTTATACTTATTACCAAAAGTTCATATTTCATTGCAAGAGTGGGTGTGAATAATTTTCAGAAATATATACCCCTCATGATAAAAGAAGACATGGAGAAAGGGGGTGCAATGTGCATGGTTATAGTAAAGTGCAGATTCAGAGCCCGAATTAACTTTTGGCCTTGATTCCATTGAGACACAAGCCTAAAAATTACATTTTATCAATCAAATTTATTTAAAACTGATTGCCAATATTTTTTAATATTTTTTCATTATTTTTGGAGTTAAATGACGAATGCTAGAAAGTTTTGATATTTTTGATTCATGATTTTGTTCTGATTGACTAATCCTGAATCCTGGATTCAGATTCACAAAAAAATTCAGATATGGATACGGCGAGCTAAAAGCAATGTATGGATCTGGGTCCAGATTTTATAAACATTTTAATTTATTTTTCAAAGCTTAATTTTTCAGTTTTAGTACTCATTATTACCTCAAAATCCATTTTTTTCTTCTTATTTTCATAATTTGTCTCAGACTCCCAATACAGCATATACTTCTTTGCTTAATATTTCCAAGATGATGGAGAAATTTGTTTGAGAAAAAATATTTTTTATAAAGTTTCGGCCCACCTTTATTATTAAACAGAGTTTCCAGAAATAGAAAGTCTTCATTCTAAGGCAGCGGACCGTGTTGCCCATGGATACGATTAAGAAAAATAATAACGTTACTAGTTGTGCCCGGCGTTGCCCGTGGAATTTTAAAAACACTTTCAAAAAAAAAAATTGGAATTTGAAGAAGAAAAATTATTTTTTTTAGCTTATGGTTTCCTTAACATATTTCAGCTGTTTTGGTCGAGCCGTTTTGCCAGCTAACCTATAATGATATAATATATTTTATAAGCATATATAATGTATACATATATATTTCAGTTTTTAAACATTCAATTGAAAAAGAATTATACTAAACATAATGTTAACATTCCTGTGGGTCTCCCGATTTCCCCCATCAAAATTTAAGGGAAATCGGTCCAGTGGTTTCTGAATTATAATCGGACAAACAAAACAAACAGACAAACAGAGATTACACCTGTATACATATAGATGAGCAATGTCTTGCATTATATAGATAAAATGTTAAGGATAATGGTACCTGGACTCAACTGTGGCTTGTTACTCAGTATATGGAGCTTGGCTCACTCTTTGATTTCCTAACAAAAAGGTAAATTAAATGGCGGATCTTACAAAATGGCGGGAACTAGAACTATGATTGATAACTGATTTATCTTGAGAGGGTGGAGGGGTTATTTTTGATGCTCTAGGAAAAAATGTTTACACTTGAAAATCGTTTATTTGTCCCAAAAAGTGATTAAAACTCTAAAAAAAACTTTCCTAACATGGGGGGGGGG